GCTCTTAGCCACAAACTAACCAGTAGATGAGATGAATGACTATAGTTCCATTAATTTAAACCAGAAGAATAATTTCATAACCCAAAAATCTATTACGATTTTAATAATGAGATAACATACCTGATATTAACACACTATGAGTTGAGGTGCTGGGCAATGATAAATCTCTCTCTCGATTTTTATTTAAGAAATTGCTTTTTGAAAAATCTATAACTACCCCCTCCCTACCCCCCACCCCCACTTTTACCTCTTTTTTAATGGCTTTTTCTTCAATCAGTTTTTTTACATCATTAATGCCCTTAATTTTAACCCATAGAAACATTCCCGCAGTAGGAGCATGCCATTCTGCCAAACCTATAAACAAAAGAAGGGAATAAATATCTCCTGAAGATATTTTTGATATCAAATGTATCATTTAATGACATCACTGCAGTACTATAAAGTAGTATTTCCAAAAAAGTTCCTTCAGTGATAGCATTTTTAAAAAATATAATTTTATAAGTCCTGAAAATGGATGTTCTATATTTTATTTCAAAGAGTGAGTGAGAGAGTGGGTGAAAGGGAGGGAGAGAGACTGGTGTGTGTATTTACAGTTTTAGTCAGTCTTAGGGTGGGATAATAAATCTAGTGCCCATAGCTACTTCCTTTAGTTAGAAATAAACCTAAGCCAAAAAAGGCTCTTTCAATTTTAGAAGAGGATTCTTCAACTCTTTGTAGATTCTTCCAGTATTTCAATTAATCCTATTGTTTATGTAATAGTTTACAAGTCCAATGGACTGGAGTTTTTATCAGGATGTAATTAATTATGAAAATAAGTACTTAAAATTCAGGAATTCCAGGTGCATTTGTAGGTGTTATGCTTAATTGAGCAAGAAAGAAGGATAATTATTTTGATTTTAATATCTTTTTCTGAAGTTGCTGATTAAAACTTTTTCTTCAAATCCAGTGTACAAAAGGGTAGAGTAGTATTCTTATCAAAAACATAACTCTATTTTTACTAAGACTTCATAGGGAAGAAGATATGACAGAAAAGGGGAATTGATATATTTTGCTTTCTATTATTTATATGAAAGGATTTGTAATGATATAATTAAAGTCATGTAATTCATTTTATTTCTTTTTTAAAATAGAAAATTAAATCTAAACCATCTGCCAATCAAATCAATGATTGATCATATTAGACAGATAATGAGGTTAGTGATTAAAAGGCAAATGCTTTGTAAGACTCAGCCTCTGTAGATTGTACTATTTTGTCTTTGCATAATCTTGTTAGAAAAGGAGTATATTGTTTGTTTCACGCTTCCTCTCGATTTAGAGGAAAATTTTGAAATAATTCTAAAACCTTTAGAATATAGATGTTGTTTAGCTTTAAGTAACTTATCGCTGGTTGATTATTAGACTAATTGGTGTATTTTTTTTAAGATTTTTATTGGGGAGTTGGGGGGATGGGAACAGTGCTGGGGAATTGGGGGAAGGGGAACAGACAATTTGCTGTCGTTTTGTTCTTCAGTCTAGTTGTGGAGGAC